GGTTGCACCGTGCGCCTATTTAATATAATGAGTATTGACTATTGAAGTATTGAAGTATTGACCTATTACCTATTTCTAGTTTTTAGTTTCTACTGACCTATCTCCATTACAGTGCTTCACAAGTTACCACCATTGGGACAACTGGGTACATTCAATAAATAAAAATAATAAATTCGATAATTTAATTGTAATAAAAATAATAAAAATATATAATCACAGAACAATGATATTTTGTATCTATCAACCTATGAATAATTAATAATCATATCATTACTCATTATATTTATAAAATATAAATGTTACTGATACACGTAATTAAAAACAGCACCTATTATTATTTAATTTTTTAATTAAATGAGTGTTATGCAACTTGGCTACACTGTACATCGAACGTTAATTTTTGAATTTTCAAAATGGACGAATTGAGAAATAGTTGATAACGATAACTGAAAAAAAAAAACAACATTCTAATTTCTAAGCAAAATAAAACCAAAGTAAATATTAAATAGTGAATACTGAATAGTAAATTTCAAATAGTAATAAATAATAAATAATAATTAAGCACTAAAAATTAAAGAAATTTCCCAAAAAAACAATTCTCTGTATAGAATAAATTAATAAAGTATAAAATAATATACTCTGTGATTTTACCTGTGTAATCAACTATTTAGTATTTACTTTGTGTTCTACTGTTTAAGAAAATAACCAAGTCAAATGTTTTATTTACTTTCAAAACCGTACCAATATAAATTTTTTTTTTTTGGTACAACTATACAAATCATGAATCATGATATTGTGTTTAAGCTAAATATAATTTAAGTATTAAATTTGTCAAATTATTTTGTTGTGGATTAAAATTATATTTTTTTAAGGTAAGCTTATTATTATTTATTTTTGGTACTTGTATAATATAATTGTAGTTACAATAATTCTTTAAAACTATTGTATGAACATATCTAAATAATAATTGTGTAGAAGTTACAACCTTTTTGATTACAAATCATGAACATTTTGATTAATTTATATGAAACAAGGTTTCTTGTTTTGTTATTAACAAATATATTAAAAACATACCTGTATCTTCTGCATTGATTAAAATTTACTTTTTATAATTATGATAGTTGTCAAAGTTTATTAATGGTTAGTAGTTGAAAATTATTTATTAAAAACTAACTTACAATTTAATAATGCTTTAATTTTTTTTTTTAATAAGTAGGTAGTTTATTAAAATTGTTTTTATGTTGAAATTATAATAGTTAATACATGATAATATATGAAGTAAATATATTTAATAGTTATAATATAATAGCTGTTTTAAGTAAGAATATCAATATTTTCTAGGAGATGAATTCAATACTTATCAATATGGAATATAATTACTTATCGACTAATATTTAAGTCTGAATGCAATATAAATTTGTTTCGTTGCAGCAGTTATACACCACATGTATTGATACTCTAATTTTTTGTTTAAAAATCATTTATTTATTTTAATTTGTTTTTTTATTATTTAGTCATCAAATTTTTCTCGTTATAATCTTATAATATAAAACCAAAACGAGCTTTTTATTTCTGCCAGAATTTATAACATAAAACCTAATTCTTACCAATGCTTGGGCTTTTGCTGTGACTTAATCTAATATTAAGTACTTTATTAGGATAGTAATTAGATTAGGTTTACTTATTATATAAGTAGTTCTATATATCATTTAAAGAATAATAATGTGTAGATAAAGATTAAAAATAGATAATGATACTGTATATGGTGGACTGTTTTATATACAATTTAACTCGTATATTAATTATATTATAAATTTAATATAAATATTGTGTCTCTGAGCATTATTAAACTTAATTTGATTTTAAATAGGTTATGATGAACCATAGTATAGAATCCAATTTCTACAATGTCGAAGAAAATGATGGAGAAACTGATAATTATGTTACATGTCCATTATTGCAACTAAAATATTCAAGATCAAGAAAACCAATTACTAGGTAGGTTATTACTATATATATATTTATAAAAATAAAATAAAATAAATGGATAGCTGTTTTTTATAAATATATACTTAATCATTATTCTGATATAAGGCTCTTATAATGAATAGTTATATATTTTACTATAAATATTTTAGATTAATGATATATTTTTTTTTTAGTCGTTTAGGACAAAAGGGCAGATCTTTAAAACATATCAATGAGAATCGACCATTATTTGAAAATAAAACAGCAGAAGCTGATTTAGGAGGTTCTTTTCAAATACGCACCCCTGAAAATTTAGCTGGTGGTTTTGAAAAACTTGACTTAGTTCATGATACTCCATTTGTCCGACCAGCTATTAAAACTCAAAATGATAGTAATTCGGAAACTCCAAGTGACACACTAACTAATATAAAAAATGTAAGACCTAATGTTGAATTAAGCACAAAACGGTCATTATACAGTAATAAGGAAAATTTACCTGATCAAATAAAAGAATTGCGAACACCTGAATCTCAAAAATTAAACAAAAGTAATATTAGTACACCATCACTCACTATAAAAGAAATTGCAAATAAATCATCAGAGAGTGTAAAAGATGAAACATATTATGTGTCACCTGAAACTTCAAAATACAACTATGATACCAGTTTGTATCATAGTATCAGAGAAACAACTGTTATACCAGAAGCATCACATTCATCAATCAAGAATTCTGATTCATTTTTCAATAATTCTTTAACAACTAAGCAATTAGAATGTCAATTCCTAGAAAATGAACCTAGACATACTACACTTGAACTGTCTCCTGCAGCAAATCGTAATAATTTTGTAATAAAAGCAAGATCACCTATTCGTCATATTCCAGTTGGATTTATTCAAGATGGAGAATTTAAACGACCAATTAATTCATCAAGTAGTGTGTGTGTTAAATGCGCCAATGAAAACTATATATCTGTTAAAGGAATTAATTATAGTATACTTAATACACTGGGTCATGGTGGTTCCAGTGTTGTGTATGAGGTAAATATGTTTGTAATGAGATATTTTTGCTAATATTTCTAATAAATTTTTAAAATTTAACAAGGTCTTACATCCGGATACTAACCAAGTGGTTGCAATAAAAAAGGTAGATTTATCTGAAGTAGAAGATATTATAGCAAAAGGATACTTAAATGAAGTTAACTTGTTACAAAACCTGCAATCGTGTGACAGTGTGATACACCTTTTTGACAGGTAAATTTGATGTATCCGTTTAAATTCCCTTTTTTCTTTCACAATGTTATTTCATAGTTTATTCATTGTTAAAATCTAAGTATACACAAATATTTAATTATTTCAGTCAATATACTACTAAAGAAAAAATACTTTACATGGTAATGGAAAAAGGGGATACAGATCTTTCAAAACTCATTCGTAATACGAAACATATGTCTGTTCATATGATAATGTACTATTGGTCAGAAATGTTGATTATAGTTAATGAAATACATGACAAAGGTAAATAATAATTTATTTTATTATTTGTTATAAAACAAATATATTACTATATAATTTGATATCCAAGCCAAGGTTGACAACTTATATTTTTTTATCAAAATTATATTCTCAGGACTTTTGGAATAAGTTATAATTAATGTGTTTACTGTAGATTAAAAATATAATACGACATATTTTATCATTAAATATGAAACAAAAAAAAAAATTTGTAAACATGAGTTTATGAATCTTAATTTTCATATTTCATTACAAATTTAATATATTTTTTTGGTATTTTCCTGTATTACTAATTTTATTGATATAATGAATAAAATAATCAATAAAAATACATAAGCCACAAATTAAGTTATTGAATTAATAACAAAATATATATTATTAGTAAATTATATTCTAGACAACTTCTATAGTTTTTATTATTTACAAACAAAATTCTAGAAGCTTAATGTATTTTGTTTTCAATTAAGAGCTATGACACTTATGTTGCTATATTATTACTTGATTGAAAGTTGTGTGTTTTGAATTTTAATTGGCATATAATATATAAAAACGTTAAATATATATAGTTAATATTAATAGTAATTAAATTTGGTATTTTACTTTAATATATTTAAATGTAATATACTTCATAGGTATTATTTATTTATTGATGAAAAAAAAAAATATTCAACGTACAGTTAAAAAATTCATTTTTCCAATAGGAGTTATACATTCAGATCTCAAACCTGCAAATTTTCTCTTGGTCAGTGGTCGTTTGAAATTGATAGATTTTGGTATAGCTTCAAAAATTCATGGAGACATGACAAGTGTATTGAAAGATGTGACTACTGGAACTTGGAATTATATGAGTCCAGAATGTATAAGAAGTGGTGGTTCAAATTTTCAAGGACATAAAGTGAGTTGGTTGAATTGGATGTTTATATTAAATAAAAATACTAATATTTCTTTACATTATACCTAGATAAACCAAAAATCAGATGTATGGTCACTGGGATGCATATTGTATAGTTTAATTTATGGCAAGACTCCTTATTCACATTTGACAAACACTTGGCAAAAGTTACAAGCCATTGCAGAATCTACTCAAAATATTAGTTTTTCGAGTCACAGTAAAACATTTACTCAAGGTATACCACCTGTACTAATGCAAACAATGAAGTTATGTTTGATTAAAGATGTGAAAGCCAGACCTAATGTAGTCGATTTGCTGAAGCTTATTGAAAATACAGTATTTAAACCTATGACTTAAGTACTTTTTTTATATAGTATGTACTAAAATGTTGTATTTATAATTCATATTGTCATTTCAAACGTGTTCTAATGTATTTATTATTTTGAGTATTGATAAACATAGAATACTTAAAATTAATTATGGTGTAATTATATAAATAATATATATAATTGTTGTATCTTAATGAATTGTTTACATTGTACATTTTATATTGTTTTAGTGTTTTAACTTAGGTTATTTTAATTAAATTTGAAATGAATTTAACAAAATAGTATATAACTCATATTATTGGAATTATAGTAATAAATTAATAATAAATGTGATTAAAATAATTATTTTTAATATACTTAATTTACTTCCATACTGTCAATTTTCCATTTTCAAATATCAAACAATCAACAGGCCATGCTATTGATGATTTATCAAATGGTAATAAATTTTCAAAATCTTTATCAGAGTCCTAAAAAAATATAATTTATATTAATATTATAGTAAGACAAATTTTAAAGAACTTATGTTAATATATATGTTATTCTTTATTGCTATTATTTTTAAAATATGTCAAAATAATTAAATAATATACAAAGCAAAGAGATTTTTTTATAAAGAAGATAATTATATGGATATAAAATAAATTAAAGGGAGATGAAAATTGAGACAACTGTAATCAAGAGAGATAGTAAATATATTTTACTTATGAAAAGAGAAGAATTGGAAAATAAGTAATAATACATGATATTAACAGAGGAAACTAGTAAAGAGTGCACTAAGAAAAGTTACTATGAAATGAAATCACAAGGTATTTTAAGTTGAAAAGTTTATGACTTAATGTAAGACAGAAAAATATAAATTAAATACACAAAATACTGATAGTATATGAATAAAAAGCGATTACTCTTTGATATTAACAGTTTAAATTTAAAAGGACCAATGTATTATTTATAAAATAGTATAAAAATATATCTTACCTTATATAACTCTATAAAATTCAATAAGTCTTTTGATAATAACTCATTTGATTCCACAAGTTTCATAACACTATTAATAAGTACAACAAATGTATAAAATTGAATTTACATATACTGATTTATATTAATTATTCATGACATTACTTATTAGTATAATTTATGCCAAATTGTATAGGTATTTTTTTTTTTTTTTTACATAAGCAAGAAATATATAAAATAGTCAACTAATTTAAAAGATTTTTATCATGTCAAAATTGATTATTGAAGATTTTATCTATTATACCAAAATTTATATTAAAATATTCCCATTTTATATTATTAGCATAAATATTATCAAACATAAAAGTAAAAATATAATCTGTGTATATTATTTCATTGGTTTTTTTTTTTAAATATTTTAATTTATAAGCAACTTTAGAAACTTATAAGAATATAATATAATGTTGAGATTAAAAAATTAAAATATAGTATAAATTCAATGAAAAACATGTAAAATATGATTATCTATAAGTTTGATAATAGGTCAATTTATTCTAATATTAAGTATGAAAACATAGAATTAAAACTGCTGAACGCAAATATGATGTTATCTTGTTATCTGATTTATAAACAAATATGATATTCTTTTAAATTTGTATGTATTGATAATGTAAAAAAAATGTGTTGTTATTTTTGATGTATGGTATATTTATACATAAATTATATAATTTAATTTAGTTAATTTAGACTATATTAATTTAAGAGTAAAATAAAAAATTTACTTTTCTTCATTCCACATTTGATTTTCTACAATATGTTTACAAATGTTTTGGTTGACATCTGAATTAAAAAGTGGCACACCAAAACAACAGTCTAACAAAGTCCACTCTGACATATCATAAACAGGTTCTAATAGCAATGATTTTTTTAAACATGTAGCATCATTTAATTTATCTAATTCTTCTTTTAAGAGAGAGACTCCATTTTTTTGAAAAATAGGTGAAACATCTGTTAAAAATAAAAAATAATTATCAAGAAATTGATTAATTTATTAATAAAATGATAAATTGTAAAATTTGCTAACCACTAGGCTGTTCTGAAATAAATTTCTTTTCATATTTATTTGGTGTTGTGACACAAGTTATGTATCCACACGTATTTTCTATGTTTAAAACATTTGATAAACTTTTTAAACAATTTTCTTCATATAAAAATGAATGTTCTGAACAATTATTATTTATATTATTAAATGTAATTAATTTAATGCTTACATGTCAATATTACTTACCATTTTGTGAATGGTACATTTTTGGGAATGGCAATACACAAGTATTTGGATTACAAGCCTAAAAACATAAAACTAGTACTGACTTGGGATAAATATTTTATTTTTTTTCAATTACTTGTATAAGAACTGGTGATTCTTTTAATGTGTCATTAATAATGGTTAATAAGTTCTCAATTGAAATAAAATGTGGATCATGTCCCCAAGTAGTTATCATTACTTTAGAACAATGTCTAAACATTTTAGGAACATTCCATAAGCGTACACCTATCATAACAATTTATTAAATAATAATATCAAATAACAATATATATTTTGTATATTTATTATTTACCTCTAATCAAAAGTAATGATGGAGGTCCATAACATGTTTTATGATATAAATATAGTTTAAACCAAACTGAATTCACTTCAGGTATAGGAGGACCAATATGTGGTAATTTTGGTGATGATAAAAGAGGTGTTTCCTTATTTAATGGAGCCATTGACATTAATAAACTAAAAACATTTAAAGTATATTTACTAAACAAATTTACTAAACTATAAAAAACTCACTTATAATTTTTTTTCAAAAATCTAACGCATGTATCTGCTGTTAAAGACTTAAGACTTTCCCATCGAATAAGATCCAGTTTACCAGAGTAATTTTCTGACCTTAATGCTTTCACAGTGCTTCTGAGTGTTAATGCATGTTCAAAATATCTTCTAGCTTCACCTTCACTCTCACCTGCACTAGGAGTTTCACTTCCAAAAACACAACTACCAGAACTGTAACCATCAGCAACTTTGTCAAGTTCATCCAAAAACACATTTAATGCTTCATCAGTTAATTTACCAGCTTCAAATAATGTAACTGCATGATCTTTTAGACTCTAAATTTAAATATTTGTTTTAATGAAAATATCATTGAATAAAAAATGTTGAAAATAAAACTGTATACTTACAGGAGAGAGATTACCCATCATCAAAAATGCTGTAAGAGTCGAATCAAACAAAAAAGCCATTCTTTTTTCAGTGTTACATTTATCTGGCGATGAATCAAGATTATCTGGTATTTCAGTAGATAATACTATTGAAGAAGATAAATCAGATACATTTTCTTCATTTGCTATTTCTAATTTTGGAATATTTTTAGAACTAGACCAGGATAAATGAGTAGAAAAAGTTTTAGGATTTTTCTTTTGGGCGATTTTCAATCGACAAAATAAGGAAACTGCATTTTTAACAGATTCCAAGTCAATTTCTAATACTGTAGCCAACTTAAAAAAAAAACAAAAAGATATTTTAAGTATATAAAAAATGTTTTACATTACAAAAATAATTACCTCACTAACTGAAGTGTGTTCATCAATAGAAACAAAAATTTTGTAAAGAAGATTTTCAAAATTATCACCAAGCACTCTGTTCATAACAAAACCACCAAGTGTTGATACTATTATATGGTCATCATCATATATTGGAACATCATAGTAAATTAAGCCTTTTCTACAAATTAATTAAAACCATATCATATAAAATGTATTAGTTTTAATATACAGTAAAATTATTAGTAATTAGTTACTTGTAAAGACTGTGGAGTATATTGTAATCTAAGTTTCCAGCCATTTGTTGTCCATTATCAATTATGTGGTCAATAAATATTTTTTCGTCTTCATTGATGGTCTTTACAATAAATTACAATAATATTTAATTAAAATAAAATTATGTTTAGTCCAATAGTGATTTAAATTAAAATATACTTTAATATCATCTTCGAACAAACATCCAACATCAACAGTCCACCAAGGATCTGGATTTAGATCTATTGGTTGAGATGGTAACATTGGTCGTATCTCATTTTTCCTTCTAAAAAGTTTATTTTTTGTTCGGCATTGATTCATTAATTCAATATATTCATTACGTCCAATTCCTAGTATTCTAAGGCCTAAAAATAGAAGTTTAAATAAAAAAATAAATAAATCAATGACAAAATGTAAATAGTTAAGTTTAGTGGCATATTTATAGCAAAGATGAGCTTGAGTATTTTCATATATTTCCTTGAACTAATATAAAAAAAAAAATGAGTAATTTCGTGATTATCTGTATACAGTTGAACCTTGATAGTCTGAACTCTCAATAATTTAGTGAATGTAGTAATCTGAACGACATAAGTTCATTTTTTTGTAAACACAGTTGTAGTTTGTTCAGAATTAAAAATATTATTCAGAAAAAAATTAGTAATAACTATATTTAAGTTCTACTATTATACACATTTTTTTTTAAATTCATTATGCTAGTTATTTATTATTTTTGTAATTTAAGGTGTAATAAATATAAAGGTGGTGGAATTAAAAATAAAAATTTAAGTCATTTGAGTAGGTAATTTTGAAAACCCTCCTGTAATCTAGACAATGCTCAGTCTGAATTTGACTGGATAATAAAGGCTCTACTATATTTATAATTATTTTTTATTTATATTAGATTATAGGGGATTATACAATTATTTTTTACACTCTTCTTTACTGCAACCAACAATCATGAAACAAAAAAATAAATATACCACTGATTTGATTAATAAACTTTTTTTAGTAAATAAAACTATTTTATTAAGTATAAATACAATCAACTGCTGTGAAATTTGGAATTGAATCATAGCTTTTATCTGACTCCATAACATGTATAATAGTTGATATATAAAATTGAAATGGTGTTATTCTTAATCCTTTAACAATTACATCTGACAGATGGTACGGATAGAGCATCAAATTTTCTCTACTATATGTCATCAAATCTTCATAGTAATTTTGTTCGTTTTTAACAACTGTTCTCACTACAATAAAATAATAGTTAAGACATAAAAAAACCATTACTGATAGTTTAAAAGTAAAACTTATGTTACCTAAATTTGTTTTGTATCGAACTTGATTCCTTATGCTATACACAGAAATACATTTTTTGTACTCTTTTAGAGAATTTCCAACTCCCTAAAAAATATAAATATAGTTATGATCATTTAAAATTTTGACAGAATATTTGTAAAAAAAAAATAAATATATACATAAATATCACTTACTATAATAATATTACAAAATTATTGTAATAACATTTAGATAGTTTATTAATCATTATTATTCATGATTTTATAATAACAAGTAGTTAAGTAAATTATATGTAATATTGATTTTAAGAGTCTGGTTTTAAGCAATATATTTTAGTAAATTAAAATTATGTGTATGTTATAATATTTAAAATTTACTTGTTTTATGGCTGGAGGTAAATTTGCCCAAGGAATATTTTGAAGTACACATTTTTCCATTTCTTCATTCATACTTGAAAAATTTAATACACGATTTATTAAAGCATTTTCGAATTTTTAATTCAAATTTCAACTATGTACTTAACATTTTGTAAATATTTAATATTTTTTAGTCTAATAAAAATTTATCACTTATCAGACTTCTAATCATTACAAACCACTGAAATGGATAATAATTACAGATTAAGGTATCTTATTCCGTGGCACAGCATTAGATAATATTATCTAAAGCTGTGATCCGTGGAGGGGACACAAATTTCTATATCATAGTAGATAACGAACTCCGCTTGGTGCTTATCTGGTGAAGCCCAAGTTGATATTTTAAACTCTTATATAAGTTAGTAGTTACATTTCACTAGTTTCAAGTTTGTCAAATATTAAAATATATTCAGATGTTTTCATAATTACAACACGATTTTTTTTTAAATTTAATACCCAACTACTAGCTCATGTAGTCTCATTATACTATGACCAACAGTGATTATTGAATAAATCCTCAAAACTGTTTAAACTCTATATGATCTCTAACTACAACACCACTGGGTTATTAGTGTTATGTTTTATGGAATATTCTCAAACAGTGTGTCATCAAATAAGGCTAAATGTATCATGAAGTAATAAGTATATTAAATGGCACAAAATATTTGATATAATTTACAAAAACTTTAGGTATTCAGTATAATTTTTATGATGATTAAAAATAAGTTATCTACTATCAACATATTTTTAATTTTTTTTCTCTTGGTTTCTCTTGGTCATTGAGAGTGTACCATCAAACAAATCTCTATCCATCTCTATCTTCTGCTATTCTCCATTGCTCATGGTACCTTGCAGGCTGTATTCTCACCGTGTCCGTTTTCACACTGTCTTCTTAACATAATCATAATCTTTTCAATGGTTTCTTACTACTCATGTTATCTTCAATATTGTTCTGATTATAGACTTTATTGTCTGTCACATCATATGTCCTAACTACCTAAACATCCTTTTTAAATTTCATTTACAATATTTGGTATTTAAGAAAGTTCGAGTTCATAAATTTTCCATAGAATTCTCCTTTCAAATTGGTACATTTAATATTGTTTCTTTTTCGTTCTTCAGTGATCATATTTTAAAGGCATAAAGTCAGTAGAGAATGTTGACTCTGATGTATGGGCATGCTCATTTGTCATAAGGTATTATAGTTCTATGTTCTATCTAATTTATAATTAATAAATAATACACAAATTTGTATTCATTTATAAATAAGACTTAAATTTATAACTTTATACAATAGTAGTAATAGCACTTACTTAAATAATACTCTTTTAATTAAAACAAGTTACCTTCACATTTTTTTTATTTATAAATAAATAAATTTTACTTTTTTTTTCAATGAACTTATTTATTACTTTATTGCAAAATTCAGGGATCATTGTTAAATCTTCTAATACTTTTTAAAATGGTCAAATATATACTCTTTTTTTTTTATCTTTATGAACACCTTGTAAGAATAAGGTACCTATTTAAATAATTTCTTTTTTTTTTTAGAAAAAGTTCTCTTTGAAAAAGGTTTAGAAATCAAGTCACTTATAACACATTCAGTTTATACGATAGCCATATTATTTAAAATAATATTCTTTGTATAGTACTTAAATACTAACCGCTATTACACTAAACAACATAAAAAAATAGCACGATAAAATAAAACAAAGAAAAATTTCAAGTACTCATAGACGTAAATTATATAATTAATAATATTAAAGAAGTGTAGCAAAATGAGCATGCTTTGGGCGGTTACTATTACAGCAGGTCTCAATATTTCACAGCGATAACAAACATTGAATAGCTTTGTACACATCTATCCCATGTTCTGTCATTGAATGTTATGATAAAGGTAAGCACAGATAAGTATTATCGTGTTTTATATAAAATAGAGGTATAATCAGAATATATTGTTTTCTCAACAGACTTTTTCGAAAAAAGTTTATCATATCTTTAATTGTTCCATCTGTATTACAAATACCTGAAATATCATTTATTTCATTAATTTCTAGATTAAATTTATATAGTCTTTTTTTTATTTAGAAAAATGTACTATCTGTATTAATAAAACACAATAAGTAAATGTGATAATATGTACAACAAAACAATATAATATAATAACAGAATGGCAGAATAAGGGAGGCCATCCAATGATAGAACCCTTTTATATATTTTATAATGAAAAAAAAAGTGTGTATTTAAAAATTTATCATATATTTGTTTTCTAACAATACCTAATATTTTAGCCATTAAAGTCTAAAAGTAGTAAGAATATACAAAATTATAATAAATAAAATATCATATTTTATTGTAAAAACACACATACTGAGCAGCATAGTACACATATTAGTGATTAAATATTATAAATAAAATGAAAATTATACAGCAATTTAAATTATATTACTATCTATCCATTGTAATATGACTGGAGGTAGTCTGTAAAACATATTAGAAGCTGTCTTCACTTTATCCAGGTTGACAGAACACTTGTATAGACGATATTCTTTTAAAACATTTTTATTCTCTGTAGCTGCTACAGGTAGTATTAATTGCATTACCTAAATTTATAAACATAGTTAAAAATGTAATTATAAAAAATATAAACTATTTATAAAACTAACTGATATTCTTTCAAAAGCTTTTATAACAACTTGTCTTTTTGTAACAAGTAATGTTGAATTTCGTAATGCAAATTTATTGTATCGATCATAAATCATTTCAAAATTAAATGGTTCTTGATCATAGATTTTTGAGTGATGGCAAATTGAAATCATTAAACAAAATTCAAGATTTGATAGTCCTGTAAAAAAAAAAAAAAGATTCTAAAAATGTATAACCCATTTTTTAAAATTTAAAATATTAATGGCATGGACATTTTTACCTAACAAATTTACAAGAGTTATATCTTTTTTAAATAATGTAGAGTAGCTATTTGTGAAATTTTCAACAGTTAACATTTCGTCTTTTGATAAATTTGAAATTGCCATAAACTGAAACAAATTAAATATTCTTCTTTATTAATTTTATGTATATTTCAAGGAAAACATTTTTAATAAATAAAAAATAAACATAAAATAATTTGAATACTTACAATGAGCAAATTTAATTTTGTATTATTGTTGTCTGATTTAAATAGATCCTTGATTAAATTTTCTATTCTTATATCTGATATTAATAAATCAATATTATTATTCCAAGTTTTCAAAACATCAGCCTTTAGTTTGCAGTGTTTACTAATTTTAAGAAAATGTTTAAACCTTTCTAATAGTTGACTAGCTTCTGATGGAGGTTTCAACATCATTAAATTATGTGAAAATCTAGATTTAACTCGTTTTTCAAGTAATTCGATAACATCAATTCGCGATGTTAAACCAATAATACACAATGGGTTCTAAAATACAAAATAATATATTAAATACTATATAGTTATCACAATATAATTTATTATTTTACTTGTTGAGATTGAACAGAATCAAACAAATTATACAACAATGTTTGATTAGGATGAGAACAAAACATATCAAATTTATCTAATACCATAATAATTGATTTTGAAGCATTTTTGTTTCCTGTTTGAAAGCTCTCCAATAAAAAACTTATATTATCTACAAAAATAATTATTCATTAATATTAATATAATGACATTACTTAAGTTTTATTTAATTCTATGATTTAAATAATTTTTTCTTATTTTTTTTTCTTTAAGATTTTTTGGCCATTAACACCAATATAACAAACATGATTTAAATAATTTTAAAGTAGTTAACAAAAAAATATTTAAGTATTATTATATTATATATAACAAAATCAATAAGTTTTTAAACATATTATTTTCTTTTAACTTTCAATTTTGTTTACATAGTGGCTGTTGTTTTCTTAGGATTTCTTAATGTAAGACAGAATTCTTTTAAGATAATGAAAGATATTGACTGTTTAAATATTGATCTTTTTATTATTTATACAGATGTTAAATTAAATATTAATTTTTTTAATGCCATTTGGTAATTACACAGATGACATACAAGTTATTAGAAATTTTAACATAAATGTAAAAATTATTGGTAACATAGATAATAATAATAAAATAGTAATAATTATATAACATATAGTAAATATAGCAATAAAACCAAGATAAAACATATAATGCTTATAGAAATTGTATAAAGAAATGTAGTTCTGGGTCGTATTAAGGAGTCGAAGCATTCTATGAATAGGATGGTTGGAGTTGCAGTTTGTACGGTGAGAAGGGTTAATAAACTCATAACTTGAAAACAATGTCTGACTGATAAGTTTTGATTTTACTATTTTATTCAGTACTAAAAGGTGCAAGAAAGATAACAAATATTGGATTCTGTGAAGGAAGTACTAAAGAATATTTTTAACAAAATATACAAACCAGCATAAGATCCCCGAGCAAAAGATCCATCCAAATTTTCCATCTGGAGTTGTTGTATTATACTTTTAAGAGCTAAATTATCATCAGTATGAATGAGACCATTTAATAATACTAGTGTATGAGATTCAGGTGAAAGAGACTTTATTACTGATTCCATTAGCTGCAAGTTAAGGTTTGAACACATAAATGTACATGAACATGTTATAAAATTGTAATTTAATAATAATATCTAAATTTTATATAAAATACACACCATTGACTTTCCACATCCACGGGTTCCAAGTATAATGACTGAGTCACTTTCTCCAAAATCGGTAGTTTTTTTAATAATATTTAAAAGTTCATTTTGTTCTTTGTCAAATCCATAAAGTTGGTCATTCAAAATAAGTTTTTTTTTTATATTTTGAATACAAATACCAAAATCAAATCCCATGATCTAAATAAATAAATAATTTAAAGTTTGTGTGAACACAATTATTACAATTTAGCATAATATAGAAAATTAACAAATAATTAATATAAACAAAATATCTTCCTAAGAATATTGATAATTTCAGAAATAATTTATTGAATTGGATTTGAGTATCTACACGAGGTATTGCAAATATAAAAATTAATTACTTTAGTAGATGCTTAAAAATAAATTTCCATGTTAAACATTGAACCAAAATTACAAATAGAAAATAATAAAAAAATATTCTGAACAAAGTTTTGAATAAATCTTTTAAATAACAAAAATAACCATGAATGCAACCTGCAACCACATAATAATATTATAGACTTACAATTGATTTTTTGTCTGAACCTTAGTTTTCTATTTTTATAAAGAACAAAAGAATACGAATGTACTGAAAAGTATGATTCTTATGAGAGATTTAGTAAATTATAAAATATACATTGTATTGTATTTTTAATTCAACATCATAAAAGATAAATGTTTATTGTTTATTTGTTATGCTACTCAACAAAAATCGACGAACAACTAACAACGAATAAAAAATCTTAATCAAAAGAGCAAGAGCGACTATAAAAAATAGTGAGTGAATGTGAATTGTGAAGTAAAAAAGGAACTATAAAGATATTTGATAAAAGAAAGTTTGGCGGTAAACGGTTGATATATTGATAACGGGTAGAGATTGTCGTTATCAACATGGTTGCCCCAGTAGTTGTTGGCAGCACTGGGTTCATACATCCATATGGTATTACGCAAAATGGCGTTTCCACGATACGCCATACTGCTATAGGCCATACGCATACTGCATAGTACACTCTTTACACCGAATGTACTACGTTCGCGTTCGGTACTTCGGTGGCAAGTGGTAACCTTACGCTTGATCGCTACCACGGCCACACATCATCAGTCGTGTTTCTGGCTTTTGGTGTTTTTTTCTACGTGCGTGAAATGTCATTTTGTTTTTCTTGACAAAAACAAAAAAAAAAAAAAAAATGAGTCGTACCAATAAGTTTAAATTTATCTCTTCTTGAATTCGGTCGTCCTATCTGCGCCGCTCTTTCACCCTCTCTCTTCCTCTATCTCACTCACTGTCATTATCTTTCTTTTGTTTTTCACCATCAACAACACATAGTACACACACGGAAGCGATCGGGCTGCCGTACTCTACAGGATGGACGCCGACGTATCGAAAAGGTAAAATTGATAATACCTTAACGTTGACTTGTCAGTCAAACTATACCGAATCGAAAAAACATACGAATACGCGCGTTCCCCTTTATGTTCCAGTTACGCTACATATTTCTTCTAAAATTTCGTAATCAACCAAACTGAAAGTAATTTATCGTTTCCCGATACGGAAGCGTAACAACAATGACAATAATCGCGATCCGTCTTCGTTCTGACTGATGGGCCACTTGCAATTTTAAATTTTTGACATGTTTATTGTTTTTGATTGTTCTACTCGTTATTTCTCGATCAACGCTTTGCTATTATTTATCACATTTTCTCTTCATAATAACTATCACTTGTTTGTTAATCGGAAGTCTTGATTTTGTTATTTTTTATACACTCATCCTGTGTTCCATATGAATTGCTTAATTACGACAACTTAAAGTCAAAGTATGTTAATGTCTTATAAATATAGGTAACTACAGTTTATATGCCTACTCACATTTTATCCACTTGTCTACAAGTTTTTTTTTTGGTAAATATTTATAACTAAGACCTATTTGTAGTATGATGTTAGTGGTACTTAAAGCATACTACCAAACATATATAAAATATTCTTATCAAATGGAATTTTTGCATATTAGTGTATTAACCACACAGAACACAGTGTCTACATTGTTTTATTTAGGCGTGTTTTTATGTGTCTGGAATTTCAATAATAGCTTACCAAGATTAATATTGTGAGATAAATTCTATTTTATCTTTATATTTTCTGTTTTGATCATGTTTGTAATTAATAGTGCTTACCTATTGGTCAAATTTCTAAAATTGTATTGTGTCTGAAATTTGTTATTTTTTAGTAAATAACTTAATTTGTAAAATATATTTTTCCTAAAACATAATCAAAAATACAGCCCATTATTAAAAAAAAAAATCATGTGATATGCACTAAAATTTCTTATTTTTGAATCATATTTATAATAATAAACAAAATAGGTAACTACTAAATATTAATCAAATATATAGGTGCTAATATGAATACATTTTCAATTAGCTTTTATAGAACAAATTTAAAATTATTCATGATATTGATTATTTAATGAAAATATAGGTACTGTTATTATAAGCTATATTAAAATACTTAAAATTAATATCAAGGTATGTTTAATTCTTTTAGGATAATAGGTACAGTTATTCATTTGTTCTTTAAATCTATAGTTTATCAATTGTTTTAGTTAAAATTAAGATATGTACCTATATAATATCCTATCAACATATAGAATACTATATTGTTTATTTATTTTATAGTAATTAATTAGCTATCAACAGGTGATACGACAGTTGTCCATGAGGTAATGTATTTAAAAATATTTAGGTATTATTATCAAGGTTCTTTTCATTAAATTAGTACTAATTGTTCTCTTAAAAATGTCTTATTTAATATACAAAATAATCTCTATTATACCTAAAAATATATTCTCCCATAGGTTTTAACAAAGATTTAGAGTTAAGCATATATAAAACTTAAGAATTTTGTCAATGAAATTATATTTGTTTTAGATATAAAAGTTAATAATAATTATTAAATGTTTACTATACATTTGCTAAGTTACATGAACAATCAGTAAACATCTAATAAACCAATATTAAACTAATAGTCTCCTAAACATCATTTTGAGACCTTCGATTGGTCTATAAAATTTTATTGAACTATTAAGAATATTTTTTTAATCCTTTATAACACTGATTTCTGTCATTTTCACTGAGCTTAATTTTAATTATTGTTGTTTTGTTTTTAGGATAAAATGAGTTGTTAACGGATTTCCTAAACTGGTTTTTAAATTTGGTGATAATTTCTGAAGTTCTTTATTTTTTTTTTGTCATTAAGACTCAATTTTAAATCCTAAAAGTCCTGTTTGTTTTTAATTTTCATTTAATCAATTAAGTTATCCTTATCCAGTCTGCTCAATTAATTTTTATCAATGGCGGATCAGTTGAATGAAACAAGCACTACAACCACTGATCACAGGAATAATTGGCCAAACACAAAACTACCAGCAGATGGTGATGTTCCTGATGATGTTTCTAACGGCCAAGAAACTCATAGTTTTGCTGATATATTAAGCACTGCATTCACGGCCACTGGACCTGTGCCAAGCCCACCAGCAGATACCGAGTCAAATATGCAATTAGGTAAGTACAATGTTAATTTAATTGTTCTATGTAAAAACATCGGCATAAATGCAATTAAATTCCTAAGCAATTTTTTTAAATTTTTTTTTATGGTTGAAAAATTTATTTGATCATATTTTTAAAAAAAGTTGCTTAAACTGAAGAAGTTATGATCAAAAACATTTAAAATGCTTGATTTTTTCAAAAATTGTTTTTTAAATTTTAAATACTTAAGAATTGATATTTTTGGAAATTATCACATTTTAACATTTTAGTGAAGTCGGAAATTATGCTAGGATACAAAGGAAGTGACTATATTTGTTATATTTCAATTTATTTTCTGTAAGTTAGGTTCTATGTTAAATAAGTTTTGGTTTAACCTCATCCGATTTTCCTTCTGCCGATCCTGAAGATATTTCTTCCTCCCTAGTTAGATTATTTTTACTTTCTGCTTTTTCAAACTCAAATTTTGTGACCAGAGCAGGCAGATATAGGGAGTGACTACTAATAATATTTTAATGTTCCTCTTTTAGGTTAGGTCATTAAATCGAAATTTCAATTACACTATCTTTAATGTAGTTCACAGAAAAGTTATATACATTTAATGTAAAATTACTACTACACAACTGCAAATTTGAAACAATATTAATTTTTTAAATAATAGCTTTGAAAAAAAAAAATTTACTCCATTAATTTAAACATTTTATCAAAAATGTCTTATGTTACGCATAGAATAAAATAAAAGTCTATATTAAGCTACTATATGTTAATATTTGTTATTATTTTATGTTAATATTTATGTTTCATAATTCATTTTTACATGATTTATTAACAATGACAAAAAAAAAAAATAAAAAAATAGGTCTATAAACAATTTTTGATTTCACCAAAATGATAAACATAAAAAACAATTATTTACAAAAAATAAAATATCCTAAAATGTTAATTTTTGATATTTTAAATTAGCACAATTTTTGGAAAAATTAAGCATTTTGAAGGTTTTTGACTACAACTTAAAAAGTAAGTATGAGAGACTTTATAAACACTATTATATTAAGCATACAAAAACATGTTTTAGAAAAAAAAGTTCCAAATTATCATTAACTCAATATGGTCAAAGGACATAGTATCCTCCTTTAGAATTTTCAACTTACTAGATAATTTCTTATTGTATATGTTTTATGTGATTATGGTTATTTGTGGACTACCCAAGTTTATCAAAAATATTTATAATATTAATAATTGTTCATAAATTTTTTTATTATCTTGCAGTTATATATTCTATTGTTTAAATTATAATCAAAATCTACTTAAATATAGTTTAAGAAAAATATCTTAACCTAAGTCAGTACAGATATTCAATGGTTTTTTGTTTCATAAAAAGTAATACTGAAGTATAAAATGTATGAATATGTTTAATTTATGATAATAAAAAAAAAAACTAAAATTATGGATACTTGCATAGTTATACATTTTCACAATAATTAGTATTAATTATTTTTTGTTAACTATCTTAATTTATCAAATATCCATAGCTTGTTTAAATTAAATTTATATTTAATAATATTTTAATATTATAGTTTTTTTTTTTTTTGTTAATGAAATTCTAAACTATGGTTTATACAATCCTTAGTGTTCATTTTAAAATCAAATTAAATATTTATAGTTCTTTGAATTATTTATTAAGTTTTTACAGATATTAAATTACTACATTCTTAATAAATATTGTCATTTAGACAATTTAGCTACAAAATGTATAAACAAAGTATTATTTCTAAAATCAGTGGTGGGTGGGCAGAGAAAAATGTCTTTGTATTTTGTCCCATGTTTATTATTCAAAATATTAAATAAGCATTCTATATAATATTTTTGTATATTAGTTATTACTTATTACTCATAATAGTATATTACTGATAATATTAGTTGATGTTTTGACATATTGTTATATAAACTCTGCCTAAAACTGTGCCAACACTTACTATATACATTATAAATAAATGACAAATTTGTTAAGTATACTTTGATAAAAATTCTCAGTTATTATTTTAAAATAATAAAATTGTTATAAAGTTATTAAAATTTATTAAAAATTGTTTAACTATGTTTATTAGGAAATGAAATGGATTATGATCCATTATTTGCAGATGGAAGTGATTTAGAGACTGAAGATACGCCACAAGAATTCTCTCCATTAAACTCTGATATATGGCGGTATGGAAATACGCTTATAGAAACACCTTGGTCTGTACCACGCACTGATGAATCATCCAGTCGAACTGTTAACCATCCAGTTCCGTCTACTCCTACATCATCTGAGATGGGAAGAAAGAGGTACTTCATAACAAAATAAATAAACCTATTTGTTTAATTTGTTATGTTATTTTTTTTTTTCTATAATTTTGTTAGATCATTGCTGTCTGGTGATAACAACTTGCGGATGAAAACTGGTAAACCTGATACAAATCGTCCTTTGACTTATCCCCGACATCAAATGTCTAGTCGAATGTATAGACCACATCGTTATGGTCAAGAACAAATGTCTTCATCAGCATATACATCCATGAGTAATCATGGAGGAAATTATAAATATACCCAGCGACCAAATCCTCAGGTTCACACTACTACAGCTCCAAGTGATCATTCAATACCTAGCTCTTCAAATCAAAATAGAATGATTAACCCTCAATCATCATCAAGTAAAATATACATTTTAATTAATTGCACTAATAATAGAATAGCTTTATTATTTGCTTATTATAATAAGATTATCTATAGCTCATACCTTATAATTTGATAAATAGCTTATAGTGCACATAGTAATACCTCGAAAGTTAAGATGATAGAAGTATTCTTATGAAGAAGTATTTAATTATACCTGTTATGAAGAAGTTTATAAAAAATATTAGTGTTCCTAAAATTTATTTATTATTATTCATGTAATTTTAGTATTCTTGATTTTAACAAAATTAAATAATGAGTAATAATTTTTTTTAATATATTCCTAACTTACACAAATATCAGCATAATGAAGATGTTTTGCTGTTCTTATTAGTTTTTTTTGTTTTAGCTGAAGAATATACAGTCTACGGTATGAATAATATGGGAGCCCCACAACCAGGAGGCCGTTTTAATAATGATCCTCGTAGAGCAGAATGGACAAATGTGATGGATGCTGATGATGATGAAGATAGTGGAATAGAGTTAGTCACAGTCAACAATTTTCAACAACGAAATATAAATCAACTAGTAAGTTATCTTTATCTCAATTTATATCATTTTTTTTTTTAGATAGTTAAATTATATAATGTTCTTAAAAAAAAAATTGTACTTTCACTTTATTTTAACAGTAAATTTTTAAATTTTTAAATTAATATGGATTATAGTTTAACTATTGAGAATAATATTATACTTTTCAAATATTATGAGAACCTAAAAGTATTAATATTTCAACAGCCAACTGGACCACCCGTAGTAGATTTAACTCTAGAGTCTGAAGAAGTCAATGATCCTTTATTGAATCATTCAGGAAGAACTCCACAAGCTGACATATCTATGGGACATACAATGTTTAGTAGTCGTTTTCCAATTATACAACCACAACGACAGTATGTCAGTCATTCTGCTATGCGTTCTATGCCTGGATACACTCAACAATTTCCTCCTAATCCGTCCCCTCTGTATCGAAATGATGTAATTTTCATGGATCAACCTCCTCAAGCTCCTTGTATACATACAGCTCATCCACCTCCTGGTACTCCTGGTTGGGCTCCTCCATGTAGTCAGTGTCATAATACATCTAGGGTTGTATTTGGAATGGGTAGTCACATACATCCGGCACATCACCATCATCATGGTATGATGGCTACACATCCAATGACTCCATGTGTACCTTCAAATGTACCTTTATACCATCAAAGATTGTGGTATAATCAACATAGAATACAAGAAATGCAAAGAAGAAGAATGGATATGATGAATGGGTGAGAAAGTTTAATTTTTCTTTAAAGTAAAATGTATATTTGTTATTAGTTAACATTTTATTAGAATTAGTTACTAAATCTATTTCAACATTAGTCTTGTTTAGATTATAAAAATAAAAAATTATGCATAAAAATAAAATATCAATTGTTTATTTTTATTAAACTATCATGTACAAAAATTGGCTTAATATTTTTTATTGACTTAAGCAGATTATTTTATATAGATAAGGTATAATTACATTTTTCATTTTTTAGCAGTTCTGTACGATCATTAAGAAGTATACCGCCAGTTTCATGCATGCAGGGATATCAACAACCACCTCAACCAACACCAGTCCATCCATCTATTCAAGCAATTCATACGGTGTTACCTCCACCTCAGCAACCAAATGTGTTCAGCCGGCCAGAAGTAATCACTTCACGTAGAATTGGTCCTACTGCTGTCATTGTAAGTAAAAGTTACTACATCCTTTTTATATATATATATAGTGCTCTAAATATATTGGAATTAAGTTAAGGTTCTGGTTTGTAAAGCTTTTGTATCAATTCTGGTTAGTTAGTTAGATAAATATTTAAGGATATTCCAGAATAGAAAAGTATTAAGTAAATAAAGAAAGTGATTACTTGATAAAATTTTTCCAACAGTATCACAATCAAAAGAATTAAAATTATTGGTACTTTTCTGTTATCCCTACTATCCCGACTCTCAATTTTGTTATCTCGACTACTATAGTACTATCCAGATATTCCGTATTTTAATACATAATACACGTCATGAATTGCTATTTATATTTTAATGTTTATTATCAGTAATCACATTAATTATCACAGTAGTGGAGAGTTATAGTATAAAATATAAAATCATCAAAATTATCACAAAACATCAAATTACGATATTAAATAAATATAAATAAATTATCACAGTTACAGTTGCAAAAGTCTAAAAGTTATTATAATATAAAACAAAGTCATAAAAATTATTAGTAAATTCCACAGATTCATAATTATTTTTAAATTAATAAATACAACAACGGATTATTTTAAAATAATACAACTGTTGGCAACGACAGCAACAGGTAATCGAGCGAATTATAGTCCGATAGTCGCGGCATCGGCAAGGTAATATGGATAACAGAAAAGTACCAAATTATTAATAAATATTTTTATTCAAAATAAAATTTTCAAAAATGCAAGTACTTATACAACATTAAACTGGTTACCATGCTCACTATTGATTATCTGTATCTCTTTATGTCAAATAATGTTTATTGTAAAAGCTTACAATATCCAAAAAAAAGTATGCTATATTATAACCAAATCTGCCTATGGTTTATTTTATGATTATTTGGTATGTATAATTTTTTATTTTGAACACAACATAATATTTATATTACAATTTTCAAATAAATTAATATTAAAAATGCAATAAAACATTTTTTTTATTTATGTTAAGACTTATTGGAGGAATTTTGTTATTTATCTAAAATAAATTTTATCTGCATTTAACATTTTGTATTAGATTTAAATTATTGTTTAAAGTTACTTGTTAACATTATTAATGTATCACTAATTTCAGTTACTGGTTTATAATAATATTTTATTTACATTTATAGACCTTATCTCCTCCTACTGATGGAATAGAGCAAGTACCTTCATCTTCATTACAAACAGAGATTGTGGTTCAAAGTGGGTCTACGAGGTATTTATTTAACTTTTTCTTACATTTAAATGCATAATATAACATACTTAATTTATTTTTTCCAGTGATAGTGGTCATCCTCATATTCATCATTATTATAATTATCATCCCCCTGGACCACCAGGTCGAATGCATCATGTACGGATTAGTATTGGTGCACCATCAGGAACTATTGTTAATGTAATTTGGAATGATAGTACTTTTGAACTATATCATTTATAATTATTTAAATAAAAATATTTTTATTACAGACAACTCCAGGCTCAACAATTCCATCACAGCCAGGTACTGATATACCTCAGTTTCCTCAACTAGGTACATTACCCATGTTAACACGTCATTTGTCATATCGACTAGAAGATTACTTGCGATTAATGGAACAACGTCGTATTCACATGATGAATCGTGGGGCTTCAAAAGACACAATAGAAAAGAATACTTTCCCCCATAAATACAAACGTGTAAGTATTTTAATTATTATTATTGTTATATAATATGATATTACTAAATATAATTAAATATTCATAAATTATGTGTTGGTATGATAGATTAAGAGATCATCAGATGAAATGGAAGATAACACAGAAAAGTGTACCATTTGTCTTTCAGACTTTGAGGATACTGAGGATGTTAGGTATGAATTTAAAATACATATAATAAGAAACATAATTTTTAATAATAAAAATATGTGATCATCATTATCTAGGCGTTTACCATGCATGCATTTATTTCACATTGAGTGCATTGACCAATGGTTATCATCTAACAAACGATGTCCTATATGTCGTGTGGACATCGAGACCAAAGAAACTAAGGACGCTGCTTCTGGCTCACCTTTGCCATCTGAAACTCCATTTATTGTTCCAACATGACACGGAGAACTGGTGGTTTTACCACCAGCTAATTCGTGTTCAACCTCTTCCCGTTGAATTATGTGTAAGAGAAGTTTGAGGAGAATGCATCATTGTTTTGCTGTAATAGTATTCCACTGCTAAATATTATACTTCTAAAGGTTTTATTGTAACCATTTAATAAAATTTGTTACCCTCACCATATACTATAGGGTCTTGCGTGTGATAAAATTTAAAAGAAAAAAACCAGTCACACTAGTGTGCGCGAGCTTTTCCATTCATATGTGATAACTTTTTTTTTAGCAATTTTGCATGTTTTCGTTTTAGTAGAACTTTAACTTTTGTGTTTTATCCGTTGTGCAATTAGTTGTCCTTGCCCTACCTTTAATAGTATGGGTATTTTTTTAAATGTTGAAGATTTTAAAAATATGTGTCTTATACCTTGTATTATAGATTATCCACAAAATAAATTTTTTATTTTTTAAACATTTACATACAACAAATATCTAACATTTTTTGTTGACTTTACTATGAGAAAATTGATGGTTATAAAATTTCTTTTTTTTAAATTTAATCTCTTAATGTTATCTAAGTTTGCTTTTCTTTTCAACTTTGACAATATTTATCATTTATTTTTTACATTTGAATCAAGAAATCATTTTAATTTTGTGACTTGTTGGCAGTGTTAAACTTTTAACTATTTTTAACTTAATCGCTCATTATTATTACTGTATCTTGTAGTCTTAGGTATCATTATATACATATTACATATAATGATAATAAGCATTTAAAATTTATTTTTTATCCACGGGCCCCCTTATTTTCTGAAGCAACTGCACGTATCGAGTATGGAAATAATGTGCAAAAAACATATCCCGAGTTTTTTTAAATTCATTGTTTTAACTTGATAATTATTGTTATCAGAATAAATATGTTGTGGTCGTGAGTAGTTATTATGTTATACGTAGTGACATATATATATATATATAATAATTATTATTACATAATATTATAGTTTAGATATTATTTTTACTATTATTATTTTATTATTTTGTATTTTTAATTAATTGTGTCACACTTATCGAATTTACCTATACCCTAAGTACCTGCAATACAAATTATTTAAAATAAATAAATATTGAATATCAAGTTTAACTATTTAGAATCGGTCGCTTATTATAAATAATCTTTGAATATATTTAATATATACATATATTTTTTGTCATTAATAACAGATTATCGTGAATAATTTCTTAATCATAGATTTTTATCAAAAAATATTTATAATGTGCATAATATTAATATGTATAGTGCATTTTCTTTTAATTAACTTACCTATAAAATTATTGAAATATTCATGTTAATTAAATATTCCTACCACTACCATATGTGCTCGTTAATATTTAATTTATAACGCTATGTTTAGAGAATATCTGTTTGCGTAATAAATTACAGCTAAATGTTTAGCCATTTTGCATTAAGAAATACTATTTTCTATCCAGAGTAACTTAATTGTCGTCAACTATACTACTGCTATTTCTCATCTTTTTTTTAATTGATCTCTTTAGTTTTTAAGCACATTTGGATTATATATTTTTTAAAAATAAAAAAACTTGCAGTGCAAAATCACAATAATTGTCAATAAAACCAAATTTTTCTCCCTCCCCAGAATTTACTAATATTGTTTTTTTTTGCCAAGTGTATTGTGATAATAATTGAAAACTTTTTAAAGAAATTTGTATGTTTTTTTTTTCTTATTATTATGTAACATTATTATAATTATTACCTCTTCCAGTTTCCATGTAAATTATGTTGCTTTATTATTATTATACATATTTTTTTTTTATTAGATATTTGTATGCATTTATTTTGTATAACTATATTGTTATATTTATTTAAGAAAATGGAAGATCAATTAGTTTTAAAGTCGCCTACTCATGTGTGACAGTTTTTTTTTTTAATGATCAAAACTTAATTTGACATATGCACAATGAAATTAATTTATACACCTTGTCTAGTGTATAATGTCAAATACATACAATATGACAGAAAAAAAAAAAGATTATTAAAAAATAATTTTGTTTATTAAAAAAAAAACAACACTTATACAGCCATACACCACTGCAATTATTACATAAATATATATAGAGACATAAACTGGATACATTTTTTGTTTTCTATGTGGCCATCTTGTGTAGGCACGACAATTATTATAATATAATCTTTGAATGACTAAACTGATTAAAACTATTTTTTTGTTTGTTCATTACTATATTATGCTCAAAAAAAAAATTAAAATAAAATAATTATAACAAACCTTTGTTTTTCACCTATAAAAAATTTAATATAATTATATACCTTGGTGTTTTTATTTATTAAAAAAAGTAATGAAACAAGTTAATAGTAGATTCCTTGGTAAGTTATGATTTTGGTCGTTGGCTGACATCTTGTGTGTTATGCTTCTTATTTTAATTGTTTTTTTCCTTATTTATTTTCAGGTTGTTTTGGATCTTAAATTAATCTTCATCTTCACCAGACTCAGATTCTAAAACAGAAATTATTAACTTGTAATTACTAAGTACTTTAAACAATATCCACCATTTTTCTAGAAGAAAAAGATTATTGTGTCGTTGAAAGTTATTAACCTAGATTTTGATAATAATTATGTATGTTAGTTCATGTGCATTCTATAATAATTAAAACGTAATTTTTCTACATTGAAGAATAATTTATTACTCATATAAATATAAATTATAAGTGAAATAATGAAACTATACAAATACTATAAGGTGGAAGTTAAGGTGAAAATATACAAGCTTCAAAGGCAACAGTACATTTTAAATGTAATATTCTTCCATTAAGTATTTGATCCATTTCACAATATTAACATAGGCATCACCAAGACAAAGGATAATTAATAACTAACTAAATTTAATGGTAAATGGACAGTAATTAAACAGACAAATATAGTTAGGTAATAGAGATTGTATGAACACTAGAGGGTGGAACTCAGACGAAAATGTGTGAGCACCGAAGGCAACTGTTCATCTATTTTATAATATTCCTCTGTTAAGCATTTGATCCATTGCAATATTAAACATTGGCATCACCAAGACAGAGGTTAATAAAATATGTAGTTTTATAATAACATTTAAATGATTGAATCTAGCAAGAGATGAGAGTTAACTATGGCTTAATAACACAATTTGCCTTTATATCATTTATTTTAATTGAACAGATAGGTAGGCATCACTAATGATAAGGGCGGGGAAAAGTAACTGTAATATATAATATGAAATTAGTTATATTTGATATTTACCTTCTTCGGCATTTTGTAGCCATTCAATAAATTTTTTCATTTGCTCCAAAAATGTTGTTTTACCCTTAGAGTGTCCTTCCTTGTACCATTTCAAAATTACTTCTTCAGTCAACACATCAGCTGTAAATATTATTTAAAAATAAAGTAATTAATTTATAGATTTATACATTTCAAAAACAATTATCACTTTTATAGAAGAGTAAAATAATTTTTTGGAAGACTCTCATGAAATTCATATTTTCGTAGCAATATTCTTGAACCTTGAGCATTAGTGCCAATTCAGAACGCGCAGTAGTTGAAAAAGCAGAAAACAATGGTGAATATTGCTTTAAATGTTTAAGTGCCTGATCTGCTAGAAGTTCTTCTTTTTTGTTCCACTCAACTTGTGTCATTACAACTGTCCATACCTATAAAACAAATAATTACACTTAAGATTTTTTTTTGATTAAAATAATGACAAATTATAAATTGTATTTATACATATATATAGATTATTAAGTAAATTAATAATTACCAAAACAATAATTTCATGTTCAGGAATGTCATGCTTAGAAGACAATTCTTTGATATTTGAAATTATTTCTTTCATATTTTTGTTGTCATTAAAGTCATCATTTAACTGAATTTCCAAGTTGCGTTTAGCTTCCTGACTGGCCTGAGCTAAATGTAACTTGACCACATCACTCAATCCCTTTTCTTCAAACTGTGCACGAAGATTTTCTTCAGTACGCTTGTTGGGAGGCAAGAAATCCATCAACCGACCTTCAAGACCTCCTTTTTTCAACACAGTCAGTAGATGGGCATTACCTACTTCTTGTTTATATGTCACAAATAGTTCAATGAGAAACTCTAATGCCAACCCATCTTTAATCAAATGCTCCTAAAAAATATGTTCTTAGTATAAATATTTAAAACAGTAAATAAAATAAATAACTTGACATATTATATTGGAAACATACATTAGTAAGTACTTGAAGAACAGTAGGTGGAATTGAACCATTAGAAATCCACAATGTTGTCATACGCGCAAGTTTAATACGTTCAATGTCACTAAAACCTTTAATGAACAGCAAAATTTTTTTCATCTCCTCCTCAAACATTTTCTCCAAATATTTATATCGACGCATGAGTTTGATAAACACCTGTTCATAGTTTCGCATAGATACCATGTCTTCGGGCGCTTCAAAAACACATGCATTTGTCTTCCACAGTTTGTCTCCATCCTGAGATATTGATCCATCTTGTGATATGGATCCTCCCGGAACTAAATAGACATTGATAGAAATATTAAAAGTCAATGAAAACTTGAAACAGAAAATATTAAAAAAAATCTCACCTAAAAGACCTCCGGCAATCAGTATATCAAAGAGGACTTCACCGTAACGGCGATAATCAACTTTAGAACCAGCTTGATCAAGGAACTTCCAAATTGCTTCTAGGTCAGTGCCGGCACCGTTGAGGCCCCCAAGGATGTAGTCCCGGAAGCCGAAAGGATCGTATTTTTCTTTTTCATCTTAAAAATAAATTAAATTATTACTTAAATTTAGTACCTAACAGAAATGTTCATTTCTTGTAACCAATAATCTCAATAATTATTAAATTAATTTAATCAAAAACTATATGCTAATTAATTAAAAGTGAAGTTATAACTAAAAATTACTCTAGAAAAATATAATTACCTCTTTTTCTGGTCTTGATGCGTTGACCTGACAGTACCGGTTTTTCTGTTTTTTGACTCATACAACAACTCGCTGAAAAATATTTGTTATTATGAAACAAACTGCTAATGAAATCTTTAACTTATAATTTTGTAAATAGTGTATTATTGTTTTGCTTGTCAATTATGTTGTATACCTATAATAGCTACTATAGAGGAAGATAACAAAGAAATTTCACTTGAAAAGGAGATATGTATTTCAACTATAGAGTATAAAAGTATAAACACAAATAAAAATAACTGAACATTTAAAAGATTAATAAAAAATATATATACGTTAAAAAAGTATTGAATTCAATGTTTAGAATACTTTATGATAGTTTATTTATGTTTTATTACCTAGGTATTAAAAATTAGTTAATACAAGTATTAATTTACAAGGACATTAGAAAAATGTGTTGATGGTTGGTTATCAGAAAAAAAAATAAGATTCAATTCTGATTAATCACGTTTTAATTAAGATATAGAGCATGTTAATATACCTCGTTTACATCTATTATAAAAATCCAATATAGATGTAAAATATTTTGTCTAATAGAAAAATTGAAT